TTTACCTACAGAAAAAAACACCAATGGTAAAACTACCTAAGATGTGCCCCCAGCTGCTCTTGCTGTGTTGCTTTGCCCTGATGACTCCCATGAGTTATTTCCTTCCTTTTCTTGCTTTGCTCATGAGTTGTTGTTCCTTACTATTCTTCATCTCCCTGATCTTAAAATTAAACATATTTTTTTAGTCCAGAGGACTTTACGGGTACCCGTCTCTCCTTATCCTATAAGCCTTTTATATCCTTGGACCACCCAAATACTTACTAATGTAATTAATAACATTCTTAATTTAAACAAGATCAAATAAGGACCTAATGTAGATCTTAAGGTAGACAATTTAAAAACTGTTGTTGAAATACAAACTAAAAGGACCTGTAAAAGAAGACATTTTATACTTACCTTTCCTGGTGCCCTTTCATAGACTCTTCATTCTGTTGCTGCGCAAAACTGCCAGAATAATCTACATATGTGACAATCTTCTGGGTATGTCGGATGCCCATGTTCCCTGTCGCGTACTGTGGTTCATGCTGGCCCATACAAAATGACAGAACAGGCAATTATAAAGTGTATTTATTTTACAGTCGCCTTTTGTTTTTATATCAGCAACACAGTCACTTAAAAGGAAACTTGTCTTGAGAAAAATCTGTAGTTTGACAATGCTCCTCTGCATGCATCATGAGGCAACTAGCATTTTCAGAACAAGCCTAGCAATGGCAGCTTTTCTATTTCTGTTACCATTCATATATCTTTCTCGTCTCACATGAATCAATAAAGCACAAACCAGAAAAGCCATATCACAAGATGCATTTGAGTAACCCAAAATACCTCTTTCTTCTCCAAATCTAGGCACACATGATAAGATTAGATAAGAGGATAGGGAATACCATACTGGACACCTAAGCTCAAATTGTTTAACAACCCCCAAACCCCCTGAAATAAACAAATTCCTTGTTATTTCGGCTAAATAGCAGCTGGCTATATCCTGTGAAAATTCTGCTGTCAAGAATTTTTAGAAATGTAACCATTTTATTGTATTTTGTTAGGAAATATGCAACCGGCTTAAGCTATCTACTATGGTTTAGATAAAATCAGCTCTGTTTCACGTCTTATTTATACCCCTGTCCCCTTTTGTAATATCAAGGTAAACCATAAAAAACCTTACCTGAGGCCTCATGCTTACGGCCTCCTACATCTTATACAGGAGAAACTGATCTGGGAAGTAGCAACAAATTTATACATGCCGGGTTCATCTCTTCTGCGTTTAAATGTACTTATGTTTACATAGGTTTCTGCACATTTACATGTGTTTAGCTGCATCAAGCCCTCAATCACATGTCTGAAAAGGTCCAGAGACAGTGGATTCTTGTGACAAGAATCAGCAGATTCTCACAGCTGGAATCACAGGGGGATGTAAACAACTGTGGCCTGGGATGCTGCTACAAAGCAATGACAGACTGAGAAGACCACGAATGTCCTTTGCTGTTTGCAAGTATCCGCACATCCAGTGGTTACCTGTGACTAGAGACAGATGTCCAACCCTGGACATCCAGGGTCAGTCACCTGTCTTTCGCTGCAGGTAACCGACAGATGTGCGGATACACGTGTACAGTGGAGGAAAGTAATGGACAGCTGTGGATCTGTAAGCCTGTTATTGCTTTGTACAGGCTTCCCAACCACAGCTGTTCGCATCCACCTGTGATTCCAACTGTGAGAATCTGCAGATTTTTGTAGAGGAATCTGCAGTCTGCAACTTTTTGGCTGTGTTAATGAGGTCTGAATGATCGGGCAATGTCTTTCAATAACTCCAGATAAAACATTTTCTCCAACAGTGTCTCAATTTTACTGCGAATTAAAGAAATCACTGGCACTGGAAGTTATTTGCGTCAATTCTTCTTTATTGATATACGCACAATGTACGGCAATGTTTTGGAACCCTATCCGGTTCCTTCCTCAGGCAAGCAAAGCGGTGATGGGGGAATGTTGAGTCCCCCATTTTGAAACATGTTTATAAATAGGACATTGTTCAATAAACAGCAATATCTTTAGAATGGAAAAAGGTAAATAAATTGACAATGCCCTTCCGGTGTACATAGTTAACCTAGAGGGGGATTACTTTGCCCCCCACAAACTGGAGTTATCCTTTACATTTACTGATAATCTATGTACCTATGTAAAAAAAGTTCTGACAATGGCAATAAAGAATCCACAATGTTTTCTGCACCCTTCATCAATTAAATAATGCACTTACTTTTGTAAGCTTTAAAAAGATTCACAATAAGGATCAACAACCAATAGTGATAGTTATAAACATAATGATAAAAATGTACATAGTGTGATATATAAAACACAGCAGCTTCAGATTTCCATGAAGAGGATGTTTATTGGAAATAATTTACACTTCTAGTACAAAATCAAATCCATATATTAAGAGGCTCTAAAACATGGTACCATGAGAACACATAGAGGTGGTGTATAGGGGATAATGCCACTCTGCAAAAGGAAAGTGCAATGCTGCTCAAATAAACAATAAAAAAACAATAAAATGGTAACATTCATTTCCAGACTTTCAAGCATAGTCAGGCAAAATGGCTGTTTACTCTGGAGAAATGGGTATGCCCTGTGACAACGTGTCACAGTATACAAGGCTTGTGGGTGCATGTCTATAATATGTTTTACTAGTTTTATGGGATTTACTTTTCTGTAATGTGTACTAATGGCGGAATGGGAAAGGTGTTCATTATGAGAATTTTTGGACACAGTGCTGTTTGGCTCATTTCATCAGGGAAGAAAAATGATTGGTAGGTGCAGGTTTCTACATTCATTTGCAAACAACTTTGAATGAAGCTACATCATTAATGGAATTGCTGCCATAGGTACCTTCTTTAATATTACCTTAATGCATATAGTACCATATTGAAATGTTATCTATATGGATTGCTTTGCAATTATATCTCTAATATACTGTAGACCTGAAATAACCATTCACATAGATCATTTAATTGTAAAATAAAAAAATGCTGTCTCTAAATTCAATACATCTAAAAGTGTTCTTAATACCAAAAGTATTAGCTATAACAAAAGCTGTAGACTCAAAAGTTACCTTACAGACTTCCCTACTGTAATTTGCGCTCATGAGCAAATAATATCTGCCAGTGGTCCATTCAGTTGCTCTGAATTTAAAAGGTCAGTCCACCCTAAATCAATGTTTCAGGTTTTTAATAGATATTAGAGAGTTAATACTTGATAGCTTCGGTCTCTCAGGAACCCTTTTGGTGAATGATCTCTGCTTTAGTTCCTGAGTCTGAACACCCACTGTAGGCATTGATGAGGGGTTCCCATTATCCCATGATGTATTTTTCAAAATAGAACACCAAAGCTTTTAAGTGGGCAAGTACAGAGATGGAAATGATGGCAGTGGAATCTCACTGTTTGATTATATCTAAGGCATTTAAGAAGCCAGGGGCTGATCAGCCCGCCAGATTCCACTTATAGCTAAAGTGAACTAAACGCTTAATATAGATAGAGCTTAACTGAATCCATTTTATCTATGCTAGATGGGCCCTGAACAGAGATTATTTTATTATTGCTCCATCAAGTGACTAAGGACATTTTGTATATAATGATCAGTAATTATTCAAGGCCTATACCATGTGGCATATTTTTTCACCACAGATGCCTTTGCATTTTTTATGTTTCATGCAGTATGTATTTATCTTCAAGCTAACAATTAATTAATTTTGGAACATTGGCCAGTATGGTGGCTGAGTAGTTAGCAATCTAAACTAGTAGCACTGGGGTCCTGCATTTTATTCCTATCAAGGATACTGTGGGGTAGTTAAGAGGGTTCTAATAGGGTTCTGACCAAACTAGCTCTTGACTGTGCCTGTAAGAAGTCAAATGCCCTTCAGGGGAGGGACTAATGCAAATGCTTCAATGTACTGTAAAACACTGCATAATGTGTCAGCACTATATAAATATAGAAAATAAATAATGTGAATGAGTAATTACAGATATGTCTAAATCCCATTTTTTGGATGCACACATTTATTAAACGTGAAAAGCCTCATGCACCAATTATAATTAGTTGTGTTGTCATTATCAAGACAGCAGATTGTTTTCACCTTAGATCTGTCTGATAATACAAGCATAGAAAGCTACATTGAAATAGGACGCCAGTGACAACTGGTTGGATTTAATTATTCTCTCCCATCCTAACATGACTATAGAATGTAGATCAGCCCCTAGTCTGCACATTCCCGCTGGTTGTTTGCTATTATAGAAGTATATTAGAATGAACAAGTTTGTTTGGTTTTTGCACTTTGTGTTCTTATTTTTTATCTGGTTGCAGCATGCAGCAACTTTTACATTCCATTGATAGATTATTTTACATATTTGCAGGAGATGTCCATGTTGGTAGCAGAACAGTCAAGTGATGAAGAATGTTTTAAAATAAATAAAATAAATAACCACTGTCCAAATAATGTATTTACTTTAAATAGACCAATGGCTTGAAACTATTGTGAAATACTGTTAAAAATATGGATGCACCGATACTAGTAATGGTATCGGTGCAGATACCGAGAACTCGTCCAAATGCTCCCGATACTTATCCCGATACCGGAACTTCTGGTATCAGGAAGCCGGGTGGCGAGTCATTACATGATGCCCGGCTTCCTGATTGGCCAGGAAGCCGCCTCCATGCTCCCTCATTACCAGGAAGCATGGAGCTGGCTTCCCAGCCAATCAGGAAGCTGGGGGGCGGGTAATGACTTGCTGCCCGGTTTCCTGATTGGTCAGGAAGCTGGGCGGTGAGTCATACACACTGCCCTGCTTCCATAATGGGACTTTCGGTATCGCTATTCAGTATCGGCGAGTACCAATAAAAAAGAAAACGGTACTCGTACTCGATACTGAAAAAAAGGTATTGGTGCTTCCCTAGTTAACAATGGCCAAATTAGTTATTTTATTTTTCTATTATTGAAACCTGTTCATGAATTGTTTGTTTGGCAGAAAAAAAAATATTTTTTTTCTCATTTAAAATCAACACAGAGCAAAAATAGGTGAAAATAAATCTGCCTCCCTTAGTGGGTAATGGTTTGCAAATGGATGACATGAAAGAAAGTACTGCCATTTCACAGATGACCGTAGCATGTGCTGCAGATCCTCTTCAGAAAGTCTTATACGTGTTAGCAAATCAGTAGACTTTGACAGTAGTAGACCCTACTCCATATGGTAAAACAAGTTATTGAAAGTGTCTAATGCTTTTTATAAGCTGCCCTACTTAGATATGGAAAGTAGTCTCGAAAAAAGACCATGGAATTGTCCAACTCCAACAATCTAATTAGTCCTCTATGGTTTGTAATGAAAACTGATGAAAAGGTTCTGTAAAAGGAAGCAAGACAATCTGTCTTAGAAACAAAAATCAAACATGTCAAAGAGTGGGAATCGCCCAGTGGATTTGGATATCTGAAATCCTCATGATAAGCAATCTACTGCCCAGCAAACTTGGCATTATGGCGCAGGTTGATTTGATCACAGCAGTTTTGTAGACTCCAAAACTTGGTGAAGATCATCAGTTGTTTTCACCATGCTGGCTTTCTCCAAGCTAGTGGTAGAATTGTAATCACAGCGTTTGGCGCAAAACCTCTGTCCTTCCTTATCAAGAGCTGTGTTCTAAAAACAAGAGTCATTATTCCGTGTATATCAGGAAAGAAAAAAAATAAAAGCTGCATATAATGAAGTCATTAGAGTGTAAATAAGCATGCACTGGGCAGTAAAAAGGAGAAGTAACAATGATAAAACATGCCCTGGTCTTGTTAAGGGCCTAGATTTGGTCTACCGGTCTAACTATTCTTTAATAGAAGTAACAATCCCTTGTGCTCACCGCCAACAGTATATTATATCAGGTTTTTTTTGCCTGTATTAATGAATTAACCTGTGCATGCTTTAGTATTATAATACCGATACTCTCTGAGCAGTTTAGATAACATGGGATTATATTAATGTTTTTTTAAATCTGGTCCTGGCATTCTATTGTATTATTTAAGCACTGCAATTTATATATCATACTCATATTTAAAAAAAAATTCAATTATAAAACTGTTTTTAAGACACTATCAGTGAATACATACCATGCTACAATGTTTGGCACACTCAAGAAAACAAATACTCATTATACAGAATCACTGGACATGGTAGGACAGAAAGGAACACATTTTATTTGCACACTCCTTTTACAGAGCTGCTATGTACTTGCATGCAACACAGCAAAAAACATTGCTACGTAAACCAACAAAGGAAGTTTCTGCGAAACATAATTATCAGGTCCATACGACATCAGCAACAATGCCAACACTGCAATTTGCCTTCAAAGGAGCAATGTCTAAAAAGTGCATTTGCACCTATCTTGTTACAAAGATCATCTGGTAAACTGTCTGTAGTTCCATTGCTCTCCACCAGATGGGCATAGGCTTGTAGTGACCCTTCTTCCAGGTTTTACTACAACTCAGTAAACTATTATATGTTGTTTAACACTACAATCTTTAATGTTTGACTTGAGCTAACACTCTCTTGTATTGTTATATATAAATTGCATGATCTTATGTACATTTTAGGGGACATGATCTAATAGTGTGTCAGTCACTGTTTCCTCTCCTTTTTTTCCTTCAACGGAACGGGTAATAATGTTATGTATATGTGTGTGCAGCAGATAAAGCATTGCAGATGCAGTTAGTACATACCATTGTCCTGGACCTATGCAGAGGGAAGCAAGGCAGGCGTTTGGAAACAGGAGGGATGGAGGAAAGAAGCAAGGAATAGAAACTAGACTTACTAAAAGCAAAGTCAACAACATGAAATACAATAAAAACAATATTGCATATACGCCGCACACAGCATTGCCAGTGTGCATGCTATATTATATTAGACACAGCACATTAAAACGCATTGATATATAGTGATTTTGTTTTCTTTCACATATAATCTGATATGTAACCATATACCAAACCCTGGCTGTGTTAATGGACTGAACTGTCTTCTTTTAAGATAACCAATCATGATTAATAATAATATAAAAAACTGACCTACTATTAAAGCTGAACTGTGAACAAACAGCTAAAAACGCAGATGATAAACATATATGAAAACTGTTTGACTTGTATTTCTGTCCATCCAGTCCTGAGAGGTACACAGATTTACTCTGCCACACATCACAGTCCTACATAGCAAGGAATGGGGACCGGAATACTTTCTGCTGCTGTTTAACTTTTAATTACAGGTTTGCTGTCCACCCTCACCCTGTGACAGGACAGTGAAGGTCCCAGGTCTCCTCTAACAGGTCCAGAAATCTTCAGCTAGCATGCCTTCAAAGGAGCAATGTCTAAAAAGTGCATTTGCACCTATCTTGTTACAAAGATCATCTGGTAAACTGTCTGTAGTTCCATTGCTCTCCACCAGATGGGCATAGGCTTGTAGTGACCCTTCTTCCAGGTTTTACTACAACTCAGTAAACTATTATATGTTGTTTAACACTACAATCTTTAATGTTTGACTTGAGCTAACACTCTCTTGTATTGTTATATATAAATTGCATGATCTTATGTACATTTTAGGGGACATGATCTAATAGTGTGTCAGTCACTGTTTCCTCTCCTTTTTTTCCTTCAACGGAACGGGTAATAATGTTATGTATATGTGTGTGCAGCAGATAAAGCATTGCAGATGCAGTTAGTACATACCATTGTCCTGGACCTATGCAGAGGGAAGCAAGGCAGGCGTTTGGAAACAGGAGGGATGGAGGAAAGAAGCAAGGAATAGAAACTAGACTTACTAAAAGCAAAGTCAACAACATGAAATACAATAAAAACAATATTGCATATACGCCGCACACAGCATTGCCAGTGTGCATGCTATATTATATTAGACACAGCACATTAAAACGCATTGATATATAGTGATTTTGTTTTCTTTCACATATAATCTGATATGTAACCATATACCAAACCCTGGCTGTGTTAATGGACTGAACTGTCTTCTTTTAAGATAACCAATCATGATTAATAATAATATAAAAAACTGACCTACTATTAAAGCTGAACTGTGAACAAACAGCTAAAAACGCAGATGATAAACATATATGAAAACTGTTTGACTTGTATTTCTGTCCATCCAGTCCTGAGAGGTACACAGATTTACTCTGCCACACATCACAGTCCTACATAGCAAGGAATGGGGACCGGAATACTTTCTGCTGCTGTTTAACTTTTAATTACAGGTTTGCTGTCCACCCTCACCCTGTGACAGGACAGTGAAGGTCCCAGGTCTCCTCTAACAGGTCCAGAAATCTTCAGCTAGCTTGAGCATCTGGATCTTCTGGTGCATAAATAACAACTTGCAATACTACTTCAAGCGTATCATAATTATTCCTAAAAGCTCTCGCTTCCAACAGGGTTTGGGTTGCATAAGAAAATAATGCAAGGTATTTTCATGTAAAGTGTTTTCCCTTCATGTGGAGCTTCACAACATAGGAGCAAAATCCTCTTCAGGCTACTTTGCTGTCACAGAAAGGATTGGCACAATGCCAAATGCGGTTTCTTGGCTTGTGCTGGTAAAGCTGCTGCTATCAAATAGTTTTAGTATTTGCTAGTCACTGCACTGCCAGCTTGTAGCATTGTTCCCAGTGACAGGACCACACTGTATTCTCAAGAAGTGATTGTCTTCCTAGGACATCCTAGACATAGAGAATTCAGATGTGTACTAGCTGTGGATCCTGATTACTTACTACTGATGGGAATTATTTACATTTACCAGTAACCAATTAGCAATTTACCAGTAACCATTTAGCAATAGAGAGTCCATTCTTAAAGTGACAATAAACTCAGAAGTTACATCTTAAAAATGCATTCATATACCTTAACTATTAACAATACTGGGCCTTATTTGTGTATCACTCGGCTGCAGATCCTCAAATCATCTCTGAACTGCTGCTGACACTGTCCTTCCTTCTGGAGGGTGGCTATCCTTGTTTCCCATGGTCCCTGTGTGTGTTGTAAAGTAGTCACCACTCCAAGCTCACTACTGTGATGGACTACAATCTCAATACAAATTACTAAACTAAATGTGAGATTGTAGTCCATCACAGTAGTGAGCTTGGAGTGGTGGCTACTTTACAATACACATAGGGACCATGGGGAGCAAAAAGTGGCCACCCTCTAAAAGAAACGAGTGTCAGCACCAATTCAGAGATGATTTTTACCCACTTCATGCTGCTTCACATAACGTAGATCTCTGCTTCATCAGCGTTTTTGGGGTCCCTTGGTGACATTAGGGGTATGTAAGTCCCTTGATGTCTCCAATAGGAGGACCTGTCACATCCTATTTGTTATTACATAGGGGGCTTGTAGGCCCCCTATGTGATAGCAATAAAGTGGACTGTAAAAAACAAACAAAAAGTAAAAATAAAAGTAACAAAAATAATTAAAAAATGCAAAAAAATGTTGTTTTAACTTCTGAGCTTAGTGTCACTTTACAATGAGAAAAGTGCTGCCCGAGGCAACAAAGAAAAGCATCCAGTGCTGTATGTTCTTAGCCTATACTACAGAAGAAAATATATTCGCCCTGATTCACTAAAATGCAAAGTACAAAGTTTGCATGTGTTAAAAATGTGGTGAAGTTTGCATTTGCTGATTCAAGATACATTTTTGTTCCTCTGCCGATATAGTTTGCATGCAAACCTTTTCCCATGCAAACTAGCCTTGGTGCACACACTTTTGTATGCTGAAACGCCATAAAAAGTCACAAAAGTGACAACAGGGAGGAGAATGTTCCTAAAGGGTGACTGTTGTCAGGAGCCATGGTTAGCATGGCTATCCTACCAAATCAAGCACAATAATATAAAAATAAGTTGGAAAACCAATGAAGGGAAAAAAAAAAAAGTTAAACTCTGGGATAAACAAGTATTGTCTAATTACAAGTGCTGTGTGTATTATTACTTGAATATTGGCATGTTTTGTGTATGTATTTTTCAAATCTGTGTAGTCCAGGGTAAAACTTTTCTTTTGTGCAGGGGCTGAAGAGGTTAAGTGGTTAAAATAACTGATGAATTAACCGCAAAAGGCACATGGTGTATGTGCACTGACTGCATGCTAATTTGCAATTACATATCTTAGTACATTCATGTTGCATACGCACACAAAAGAATCGCTTTAGCACAGGTAATTCTATTCAGGTTTAGTTGGGGGGGAAAAAAGGTAACATAGGCCAAAATAAGAAATGTAAACTCATTTTACCATTTAGTGAATCAGGCCGAAGGTTTTCTAAATATAATGACTGTAATTCATGTCAATCCATTTAGTGCCTTCATAAAAGGCCTTTTGAGTTAGTAGGCTTATCAGAGACACTTGTTAAGAACGTTGTAAGCCAATTTAAACACCTCCACCAGCAAGAATTGAAGAGCAGCGTGAAAGATTTGAGCAAGATAAAAGTGGACATGCATGACTTATTTGATTTATTTCTATTCTTATAGCTCAGTACATTGCATCTTTATACCAGGCCTCTGCGTCACGCTCATCTCCACTGGTTCATTAATGCAAGATATGTAGGCCAGAAGCTTCTTGTTACAAGTCAAAATCAAACTGTGAAATGAAATGTAAATGTTATTTTGTAAGTTGTAGATTGATTTTAGGAAACCTTATCTACTTTAAAAGTGTGGCAATGGCAGACTTTGGGTTTATGGTATGTGAACACCAGCATTTGCGGACAAAGCGAAAACATTAAGCACTAGGGCATGTCCTACTGCCATCTCTCAGTGTTCCTTTTGAGCAATCATGCATGTTGATAGGCGTTCTTCATATTGAGTGTCAGGAACACAATGAAGTGCGCCTCGAGAAATATATTCTCACTGTAATGAACAAAACTTGGTCTAAATGAAGCATGAGATTACAGACCCGTCAATGCATATTTACCCTGAAGGACCACTAAGTGGTAAATTCTATAAAGCTGGTGATGAATGTATAAACTCCATTATTGGATTTTATTAAGACATTGCAATCATGTAACAGGCTTCTAATGTATTTGTTAGAGCTCATATCTCGGCACCTATTATGCTTACCATATCTCAGTATACAGTAGCTTATGACCCCAAGCTTACTACAGTTGCCTGGCAGCATTTACAGAATATAGGAGACTATCAGGTTTATTCACACAAGGGTGAAGGCAGACGCGTAACTAATGACCTCAGGGCCCTGATGCAAGAATCCATGAAGCCCCCCGCCCCAAAAATAAAAATTAGATACATTTATTTACCCACCCACACTCCTCCTCTTCCATGTCTCCAGCTCCCCATTATCTCCCCCCTTCATATCCCCAGCTTTCCGCTCCCGGACCCCACACTCTCCTCTTGCATGTCTCCAGCTCCCCATTATCTCCCCCTTCATATCCCCAGCTTTCCGCTCCCGGAAAGTACTTTCACATACATCTGTCTTTTGACTTGAATTTGCCAGTTACTATTTGCTGAACTAATTCTATATAATGATTGCCACTTTGACCTCAAACGTCTAGACACATGTTCCTGACTTTTCTTCCAAAATGATGGCAGCGCTGACCTCAAATCACATGTTAACCCTTGGCATATTAACTCATTTTAAAACTATCACATTTTATTTTAGGGAATTTGGTGGTCAGACATAGAAAACTGGTGGAGATACCTTGTTATTCCCTTAAAGCCAAAACATAATCTCCATTTTTATAGGTTAAGCAAAGTCAGGAAGCAGGAAATGTTAACTTTTCTAAAAATGTTTTTGTTTTCTTTTCTTTCTGATTACTCCACAATCACCCCAAACTCACTTTTCCTGACAGACAGACACTGAGGGCTTTTTCACACCAAATGCAGACCAGATCTGCATGAGTTTCTGCACATGCAGTGCAGTGTGTCATACCGCATTTTTTGCCGCGTTTTTGATGCGTTCTGGGCTGTTTTTTGGTTAAAAAAAAACGTGTACTTTTTTAAATTTAAAATGGGCTTTCAGTGTGTTCCAGGGCGTTTGCATGAGTTTTTGATGCGTTTACATGCGTTCCTGAGCAGCTAAAACAGGGCTTGCTGCAGTTTTTTGTTTACATGCTCTGGAACTGAATGCTGTGGTGTGTACTAGAGCCCAAAATACCGTTGGAATACATTGGACGCAGTTTTGATCCGGTCTGTAACTGCTCTGCTCCTGGAAAACGCTTAGTGTGAACTAACCCTTAACATGAGGGCTGCTGTGGTGTGTCAAAACAGCGGTCTATCTCCAGCGATCCCACACTTACCCTACACAGTTCCAACTACTGCGCTCCAATCTGCAATGCTCATGCTCCCTGCGGAATGGAGCATGCTTGGAACTCAGGAGTTGTGACTGTGCAGGGCAGTATCGGACTGCTGGAGATAGACCACTAGTTTGCAGTGCTGATCATCTTCAGCAATCTGGAGGATAGTTTGGGGTTGTGGAGAAAAAGCAAACCGTAAAACTCTTAAAAAAGTGTACATTTCCTGCTCCCTGACTTGGCCTAACCTATAAAACTGGATAATACAATTGGGATTTAATAATAAAAGCTTGCAATAATATTATGCCATTAAAATATAGGTACTGAATCTTCATTCCATATGGCTTTTACTGCTGTTTCATTCCCTTATGGCAGTCAAGATTCCCTCTAACTTCTCATGGAAATTAATATAGACTTGAGTTTGAGCATGGCTTCCGTGTTTGGCTTCATGTTAAACACAACTGTTATGGCTGTAATGAGGGTATTTCTATTTAGGCCATAAGGTAAACAACACTGTTCTGTTCATATGACTAACACACAGAACTCCAACCAAAGTGACTATTATGCCTACTAGAGTTATGTTTTTTAATATATGGATTTAGATTAAGCAATTAAAAATACATTAATGTCTTTACATTTGTAAAACTCCCACAAAAATACAGCAGTATCTTATAATATAAAAATGAATTATGAGCAAGTATGATATGATTGTAAACAAGAGATAACACTTACCATGATCACAGACACTGCAGCTGTGGTGTTGTTCCCCTTAGGCACCGAGTTAAAATGCTGTTTTAATTTACCAGTTACTTCCACCTGCATGTTATTCCCCTGTGAGGCATCATCCTAAATAAAATAAAGGACAACATTTAATGACATATGGCATCCTATAAATATACAGTATCAGTCTCAGACTCATTACCAGGAACATCTGAGGATCCAGCACTTAGGAGTGGGGGAAATAGATGAATTGGATCAGATGGATCTAGGTGGAGTTTGTCTATGTTGCCACAGGACTAAATGTAACCTGCAGTTTTATCTTGGTATGCTGGAAGTACTAAATCTTTATAGATGACTGAGGTGTTCCTGAACTGCAAATATAGGTGTTTGACACAGCAACCTGTATTTATGTAGGATGATACAAAAAAAAAAAAGTCCAACACTGGTCAATTTCTTTTTTAAATAGTTCTCCAGCAGGGGCCTAAACTCAAATAGTCACCTCAACTTTGGTATTGTCCCCCAAAGAAATTCTATTCAGCCACTAAATGTCCCAAGTCTTCTGTGTTGAATAATGCCCAGCAACAATTAACCCATAAGACTGAGGACATACTGTATGTGCAAGTGGCCTGCATCACATTAGTGCCGTTCACTGTATCACTGCAGACTGTTCTCTGCTGGGAGAAGATGCAGGAAAAGGACCATGTGGACCAAGACATCATGTGACAAGCCCAATGACATCTGAAAAAGGTATGAAAAAAAAGAAATGCAGTGCTGTGGGCCTCCAGTGGG